ATTCTAAGTTATTCCTTGTCAGTGCCTCCTGGGGCTCTAAATCGAGATAGCACGTCTACATTAGGGGAGGCTACCTCGGACTAATTCTGAGGCTTCCCTGCAGTGTGGATACTCTATTTCTAAATAAACTATTTTGGAATAACTATTCCAGAACAGCTTATTTCAAAATAAGCGTGTAGTGTAGACGTACCATAGGTGACACTGCTCCATAGCAGCAAGCGTTTGGAACGACAAACAATGAGCCTGCCTACCTTTTTTATTATTTCTTTTTAATGTAAGAAGAAGTTTCCATGTGGGTCAGTCCTACAGAAAATATATCTTGGGAGGTGAGGAGGAAGAAGGAGGGAAGATGGCTCATTTGATGATTGCCTACTCTGTTCATTCCCTCTGGGGCACCTGGCATAGGACACTGTCAGAAGACAGGATACCAAGCCAAATGGACCTTTGGTCTGAGCCAGTATAGCTGTTCTTAAATCAGAGGGCAGAAAGGCTTTTTCCCTTGTTTCTGTAGTTGTCATGTTATTATTTTCATTCCAAATACTTCTTTGGTGAATCAATTTCCTCTCCATCAGGTTAACAAAAGGTTAAAAAGTATAAATCAGACCTTACTTTTCTCAGAAGATATCCATGAACAGAGACTTTTCAGAGCCATTTGATTACCACATGGGACATTTTGTTTGAAGATGGTCTCTGAAGATGGTCTCTGAGTTATTTTGAAATAACTCCCCTTATTTCAAAATAACAAGCAGAGAGTCACCACTGCTAAGCCTGTTATTTCGAAATACTGAGCTGGTTATTTCAAAATAACTCCTGCTAATCATGAAGAATAATGCTTATTTCAAAACAGTTATTTCAGAAGTCATTTCATTTAAAAATAATTTCCTAGTGTAAACATGCCCTAAGGTTCCAATCCAGTTTATAGTAAGTGCATGCCTTATCTCTTTCTGTGAAAGACTGAGACATTGGCAGTCATGCCCAGTGGATAGAGAGAAAGTCAGGATGCAAGGCTTAGGACCAGGCTGCCTGTAATGTGGCAAATTGGGGGCAGGGCTAGAGAAGACTTGAACAAGGCTGGAGAAGTTCTGGGAACAAACGTAATGAGCTGGCAAAGGCACCATTCACAGCCATGGGTAAATGCTTTGACTAGCTGCTGAACTGCTATGCCTAAGTTTCTCTACTGACTCTTCCAGTCAGGTGCTGTAGCCAATCAGTCAGCATATTGCAGGCCAGAGTTGCTTGTAAGGTTGCCTAGAGACTGGCTCTGCAATATACCCTGCTTCCAGACTGGCTGTGGCGCATGACCTGATTCCTTTGACATATTGAAGTCAACGGGATTACTCACTTACTTAAAGTTACACCAGATAGGCTCTCATGTAGACAAGCCCATAGTTTGTTCCTTATATTACTGTGGGTGCTGTTGAGTTGTTTAGACAAATGAAAAACATCTCCAGTTTTAAGTAATAGTGATATTTTCATTTCTACAGACTGTTTCTGAAAAAAGGATCTCTCTAAGCACATGGCGAACATTCATCGGGACTCTTCATCTTCTTGCTTCAGGGGAATAAACTCATTGCTATCTGCAGGCGGAAAGTCATTGATTAATACGTAAATTAGTGAATGGTCTAAAGGCTAATGCACTAGACTTGCTTTCCTGTGGAGCTCTGGGAGGCACAATCCTCATCTTTCCCAGAACTCCACATCTGTCCTATAAAATGCTCCAAGTTGAAAGTCTAGCCCTGACTCAAATCAATGGGAATTTTACCACTGTCTTCAGCAGGGTCAGAATTTCACCTCTGGTTTCTAGAGCATCCCATTTTAATTCAAATTCTCTTTTAAGTCAGTCTGTTAAAGCGTGATCCTGAACCCTGCTTCTAGCCTCTACCATTCTCACCTTCTGTTCTAATGCCTCCGCTTTCCCTTCTGTTTTACTGAGATTTATTTTAAATTCAGTTATGAAAACAGCATGCTTTGCAAGTGAGCTGATGATGGTTTCTTGTCTTAAAATACTTTAAACCCCCCAAATATTTGCATCTACTAGAGTCGTGAACAGATTAGTGCATTCTTTCATTGGTATTCAAAGGAGAAGAAATCTGACATGCAGAGGAGTTACTGTATGCTAGTACCCAGTGCAGAGGAGGCCTTTGGTAACATTCTTTTTATTTCTTAGTTTTCCCTTTTCATATCAAAACAGGTATCCAATTTTGTCTGAAATCAGGCTGTTTTACTTAATAATCCTATAATAGAACACATTGCTTTTCCCCCTTTAGAAAAATCCAAATGCATGTTGACCAGTTCATGGTAGGGTGATATATCTATGAATTACATTATCAATGTATTCTTTACACCACATACATTAATGCACATTGATCACCCTATATTATATTGCATAAATCTTTCTAGCAGTCACATGGTCAGTTCACTTTACCTCTGTGCTTCTGTTTCATCTCCCAACCTTTTTCTGTCTTGGCAAGTTAGGTTGTAAGCTTTTCAAGGGCAGGGCTTGTTTCTCACGGTGTGTTTGTTCAGCTCCTAGCACTCTGAGGCCTTCAGGTGGAACTGTAATATAGTTATTTTATAGTATGTGAGATTCAGTGTGTGTCTGTAGAGCAATATTAAGAGTTGTTCTACAAATATGGTTTTCCATGCTGTCTTATTTTGCAGTAATCTTTGAAGCTGATTAGTTTGCACATAGAACCACAGTTAATTTGGCACAGGATTTCCAGACCTGGTTGCTTGAGTGCTTTCGGCAGTATTATGAATCTCCATTGGCCAATTGGTATTCATTCTATCTGCATGTGTAATACTGAAGATGAGATCAGCAGATCTGCTTTGCCTCAGCCATCTAGAATATACTTTATATTGCTGCTTCTGCTGTGTACAGCCCTTTCCAAAGAAAAATTATTCTAACTTTCTACAGATCTGTCAGGACCTGATCCAGTGCTCACAGAAATCCATGGCAAGATTTGCACTGCACATTGGATGAGGCTCCCAAGTAGGCTGGATACCATGAGCATTCTCAATGCTGCACCACCCCCACCTGTTGCTCTCTGTAGTAGATTGTGCCTCTGTGCTGTTGTTGCACTTGTATTTTGTCTCTCTTCTTTGAGCTATATGGTCTATGGTGCCTGCCTGTTAAAAACTGGTATTTATCCTCTCACTTGCACTTCTTCCAAAATCCTACTACCTCTGCACATGTTTACAGCATGTGGTGAGTCTAGTTTGGACTTTATCAACATCCTAGATCCAATCTCCTAGACCTTTGATGCCCAGAACCAGGCCTTTACGTACCAATTCATTATGCATGCTCCCACATTTACACAATGCAGCAGGCTCTCTGCATTTTGTGACATACTCATCTGCAGCACTGACTGTTCCCGGTCTCTTTTCACGTGTCAGGCGTATCTACAATATTCTGGATGCCTGAAAACATTTTTCCAGTACATTGATGCCTGTGGAACATGCTGTTTTTCTGCCTCTGCTAGCATGACAAAGCTGATAAATATGTAAGCAGCTTTCTCCACTATTGAATGTAATGGAGCTTAGGACCTGTATTTTCCAGCACACTTACAACTTCATAAGCACCCTACAGCAACTGTAAAAATATCCAGGTACCAGTCAGCTTGCCCTCGTGGTCCATTTGGAACAGGGCACAGCCACTGACATGATTTTAAGTCTAGACTTCCTATGCCTTTGTTGGTCTCAGAGGGGGTAGTCGTGTTAGTGTGTAACACTTTAAAAATAGTAAAGGTCCTGTAGCACCTTAGAAACTAAAAGATATATATACACGTAGTATCATAAGCTTTCATGGGTGTTCGGGGCGGGGGGGAGAGGAGGGGGGAGCTTGCAGCTGCTTAGACAGCCTTTGGAATCAGCCACACCAACCACTGCAGAAGTCACAGAGGTCCCACAAAGCCACAGAATCCATGACCTCTGTGATGAACACCCAGCCTGAAGTATCAGTAACAAATTTTATTGAGCACTGTGCTACTATAACAATTGCTAACATTCAGTGCCTCCTGGGTGACACTCTATCTGCTTTCTGGTTATTATTAGAATCTTTCGAGTGTTAACAGCCATAGACTGTGTCTACACTGCACGTATTTTGTGCAAGAAGAGGTGTTCTTGCGCAAAAACTTGCAGAGCGTCTATACTGCACACGCATTCCTGAGCAAGTAAATTTACAGTAAAGCATCAGAAAACAGAGCTTCTTGCGCAAGAGTTATTCCTCTCCCCACAAGGAATTAATCCCTCTTGCGCAAGAGCTCTTCCACAAGAAGGCAGTGTAGAAAGGCAACAGGGGTTTCTTGCACAAGAAAGCCCTATGGCTAAAATGTCTATCAGAGCTTTCTTGCGCAAGAGAGCGCCCACATTGCCATGGACACTCTTGTGCAAAAGCACATCTCTTCCACAAATGCACAATGCAGTGTGGACTCACTCTTGTGGAAGACCTTTTGCACAAGAACTCTTGTGTAAAACATTTCTTGCGCAAGAAGCCTGCAGTGTAGACATAGCCATCGAGTTTTTCCCTTGAATGCATACAAAGCTGCAGCTCTGGGTTTATAAGTGGTTACAACTGTCCAAATTTCACTGCACTTATTCAGCTGCTACATATTTAGCTCACAAAATATGGTAGAACTGGTTAAAAATGCAGAAAAGGGTGAATTTTTAAAACTGGTGGTTGAAAAAAAACTTTTTTTTTCCTTTTAATTGCAAATGTCAGAAAATGTCCTATCAAACAAAAATATACTTTGGACAGAGCTGTTCCAGGTTTTGACAAGATGCTGAAAAAAATGTACACCTTTTTGTAGGAAGAAGAAGAAAAGTAAAGTAGGACCAACTGAGTTCAAACGCTTAGACCCAGGCTATTGAAAGAACACATCACACAATGGCTCTAAATACAGAGGCCAGATTGTCAAGAGTGCTCAACGCCGAGTATCTTCTGGGTGACAAGCATTCTTTACAACTGCCAGAACATTAAGGTGCCAAATGGGACCTGGACTCTTTTGGAAACTTGGCCCTTATTTAGCTGAATTGTCACTCCCCTAAATGTCAATAGGGGCAGATTCAACAAAAAATATTCTCAAGTTCCTTAAAGATCCTCTTCTGGCACAGTTATTATCGTGTTTCCATTTCTGTTAATGACATCTAAGAACTGGGAACAAGCAATGGTGGGAGATTAAGTAATTAAAGAGTATTAGATGCATTTGAAGATCAGGGTCATAGAAAAAGAAGAGACACACACAGAGAGAAAGAGCAGTGGGCTGCTTGTCTGCCTGACAGCTCTAAAATATTCTTACTCACAGCTTGGTAGCTGTAAAGGACAGAGCCTCGCGCTACAGATCGGCTAACCTTTATTGTTCCCAGTTTCGAGATCTGTGGGTTTTATGGGTGAGTAAAGCTTATGTTAAATATGGATAGAAATAATATTTAATACTTGATGTTTATTTTTCTCTTTCTATGCAGGAATTGCAAAAATCTTTGGGATTTTATATAGAGAGAAGATTGTTTTAGGATCATTTAATTATGGAAGGTTGATATTCTATACATGCATTACTAAACTGACCAGAAATCTTTTGTGTTGTATATCAGGCAATTCTGAAATAAACCAGTTCAAAAAATTGAATGAAAACATAAAGGTATTTGAATATTAACAAGCTGCACGAAGGCATCAAATTCCAGTTTTATATAAACCCTCCAACTCAAACGTATTTGCAAGAACAAAACAAACCACAGCACACCAGTTTGAAGAGGGAAGTTAACTGCTTCATTACATCAAGAAAAGTAACTTGTATATGAATGGATCTATATACCCATTGTCAAATGCCACCAGTCCGTGGTAGGGGGTTCTAAATTTAAATGGTCTGGTTTTAAGTGTAGGTCAACAGGTCTCAGCAACTGGCTAGGTAAAGCCTAACTTTGAATTGTCTTGCTTTGTGAAAGGGGTCACATTTATGCTAGAGTTAAAATGTTTTTTTGTTTTTGTTTTTTTTAGATTTAAATTCTGTTCTTTTACTGGTCAATTAAAAAATACCAGCAAGGTCTAATCAAATAGTAAGAGCCAGATTTGGTCATCCAAATTCACATTATATTAATTTACTCTGCAGTGAGAACTAATGACATCGCTGGGACTAATCTCAGAATAAACATGAGTAAACAAGAAAGGATTATAAATGCATTATGACAACTGAGCATCTGTTTACTACAGTCAACTTAATAAATATAAAGTTAAAGGAGAACAAAGTAATTTAAAAATAAATTATAGCCCTCTCCCCTGTAGCATTCAGAGCACTATACATGTACATTAAAATACAATTAAATTATTTTTTCTTCATAAAAAGAAAAAGAGCCAGAAATAATAATAT